CTGGATTTGTCAATTTTATTTTCGTAACTTCTTTGAGTCTTCATTATATAGGTATATGGGAGAGATCAATTGAGAAAGAATTTTATTATCATTTCAAATTCATTAAATGAATGGATGAATCCTCATGTAACTTTTTGAGGAGAGTCTAAGATAGTAACATGAGTGATAGTTTTATACCTAAAAGGTGTTCTCTCTTTTGACTAGAAGAAAGCATGCATATGATTTTACTACTTTTCAGCCTATTTTCCTCCATAGATGATAGGTATTTACAAACCTTGTGCTTCAAGGTTAGAAATCTTATTCATATCAACAAATACACAAATATTCCAAAAAGATATTGCACGCAATTATGTGGGTATATCTAAGAGCATTTGATTGGTATTATGTAAACATTCTTCTAAGATAAAATAATGTCTAATAGATAAGAAACTAAACTTATTACAAGAAAACTCGTTATCACGAATATTCATTTGAAGTAAATGAGATGTTTTATCTAGAAAAAATGCTTATAAGTTTGTATGCTTTGGTTTTATTTTATTATGAATATGTTTGATGCTTGAGATAAAAGAAAAAAAAAATTTGGGTCTTAGATGCATCATAAACCAAATGTGATTTTCACAAAAAAAGTTTCATAAAGCTTTTGTTCCAACATTTAATAAGTTTAGTTATCATCAAAACACTAACATGGAGTATGGATGTTTTGTATATGTTAGTAATGCGGGTGGTAGGAGTTTATGTGTGTAGATGTCCAACCTTATCTCACACCGAGAGTTAGAATGAGCCGTATCTCACTCCTCTGTTTTGTGTTGACTATTTTTGTTAAGTGTTTTGCAGGTGAGGATCATTATGTTAAAAAATGGGAATAGGAAAAATAAAATGTATTATTTATCAATGAATTACATCAAGATGAACATCAACAAATGAAAAATTAAAATAACAAATACTACAATAAATAAGATAAGAGTTTATAGAAGCTTGGGTTGAAAAATGCTAGTCATTATCCTTAGAGAGAAAACACCTCACCATACTGGTAGATTACTTTGTAATGCACTTCTCTCCTAAGATATGACAACTTATCAGATCAATCATGTGCAACGAAAGATCTAAAAATAAATAAATAAAAATATTGCTCCAAAATAATTTTTTTTAATAATAATATCCAAGGATATCTAGTAAAAATAGAAGGGAATAACTTATACACTATATATATATATCACATCTATATATGTTATGTGTGTGTTACATCTATACGTGTAGTGTGTCAAATCAATTTTCTCAACCAACAAGATATATATAGAGAGATAATATGTGCATCATTTGGAAAGGAATGGTACCTTGTGCAAAAAAATATCAAAAACTTATCAAACTCAATCAAAGGGATGAGACCATTTTTCATAATCCAAATAACAATTTCAACGTGTAAAAATAAATACTTAGTCAATTAAAACATTTATAAATCATAACCAATTTAATTCATTTAGAAACATTAATTAAAAGTAATTAAAACATAGTTAAACATAAAATTGATTAAATAAAAACATTTACTTTAAATGTTAAATTATAAAATAATTTTTCAACAATCTCTCACTATTTTAAAATTTAAATAAAGATTCAAATATATGAAAAAATTTAAAAATAATTTTTAATAAAGCACATAATATTATTTTTTTAGTACAACGAAAAATATAAAGAATTTAACTATACTAGTTTTCTCATGAACCAATACCTGGACATTCATGCAACAAATATATGTATAGGGTGCAAAAAACATAAAACAGTTCCTGCCAAATTGCTTTGAAAACATAAAGTCCCTTATGCAATTACATATAAACCTTGTACGTATATACAAATATACATCAAAAGTAAAAACTATTGAAAGCATAAAAACCTAATGTCAATCAAGCATCTCTAATCAACTATTGCATTAGAACAACTCAATAAAAGAATAAAACCATCTCTAGCTTGGTCATCCACCAAGCGTGCCCTTTAACCTAATCATGCTTTATTTCCATTCAAAGTATGATCATTATAGTCTAACCACATAGAAAATCAAGGGTAAGCTTGTGAAATAATTCAACATAATATCATTTAAGAAATTTCAACTTCAACATAGTAAATCGGAAACAACTATAATCACACCAAATAAACAACTAACTCAATTTAGAAACTTCAAAAACAACTAAACAACTTAAATAACTAATGTGTCATCATACGTATCAATTTATTGAGATTTTCAACAATTGAGGTGAGTAGTATAAATGGCTTGACCCTACTAAACCATAATGTTTGACTTGTATTCTAAGTCAAGTATAGGCAGTTTCAAGCATGGTGATTTGTTAACAACTTATTTTGGTTTCTCAGATTTCGCCACTTAAATTAGGAAAGTCCAATATATTGTTAGGGATAGATCAACTTGGGTTTGAGCCTATCACACCCTTAGCATGCATAACTAAGCCTATATGGAAATAGTCCATCGACTACCCTTTAAATATTGTGAACCTTTCTAGTACTTAGGTTTTCGCCCCCGACCTTGTACCTTACTCAATAGCCACTTGTGACAAGTATGGTTCGACCTCCATTAATGGAAACTCAAAGCAATTGATGGATGATATATCAATGGAGAAGTCTCTTTTCAAGGACCTTTGATTCTCCAAGCAATTCTAGCTCCAATGAGATGAAATTGATGCACAACGAAGGAAGGAGAGAAGGTGTTTGTGAAAATGTTTGGGAGGGTGCTCTAGGGTTTTGGCTCACTCTATGGGTGATGAAGGCCACTCACTAGGGTTCACTTTTATCATGGTAGAGATAGGTAATGAAGTTGGTCGAATAGACCAAGGAGACTAAGGATAGGATACTAAGGCACAACAGCTTTCTCAATATCAATATGATCCAAAGTCCATGCATGAAGGGTGACCTAGGGTATTTAGATTAGGATATGAGATCATTGGACAATGATGATGCTGGCGGCTAGGTCTAGCTTTGTGTGCATTTCCATGCTAAATGGGAAGGAAATGCATCACAAATACAAGCCACATGACACCCGAAAAGTGACGCCAACTTGGTCACCAAGCCTAAAAATAACACCAATAAACACCAAAAAAACATTTAGGCCTAATTACTCAATCCCTGATATAATACCCTATCTATTTAAACAAAACAAGATAAAAACCTACCATCTAGGGTACCCCAAAATACAATAGTAAAATGGGAAATACAAAAATAAAACAATTAATCCTAATATACTAAAGACCTAGGAGAGAGTCAATACTCAATGGTCATCATAGCATGGCTCTAGTTGAGTTAGCTTCTTCTCCATCTTCCACTCTCTTAGCCATGGACCTAGTGAGGGGGGACCACATGCATCCTCAAAGATGGTCCTCCATCATCCACCACACCGTTCCAACTGAAAACCTAGAGGAAATAACTTAAAACAACTTCTCATTCAGGAGGCAATTTACTCATTGAAAGGTTTTCAAATTTGACCTCTCTAAACATCACAATTGATATTCACATAATGGCACATTTAAGTTTTTGAAAACAACATTTCTCTCCTCTAGTTTTTATGCAACTTCAACTTAAACACATATTTCACATGTTTAATATAACTTAACAACGTACAACTCCAAACAATAAATATTCTCAACTTTAAACAACTTAAATCATCATCATACACCATCCTAGATCAATACAAAATGAACTAGAGTCAAACATCATGTGAACAACCAACCTAAATAACATGCTTCCATCATTTAAGAAACTAAATAATAAGTTTTCGCTCAACATAACCACACCTAGTGCCATTCACCTTGCACTCAACACTAGTGATGCAGAAACCCTCTAGATCACTCACGCTCGATGCCAATCCAATTATGCCTATAAAAAGTGAGATAGAGAGCTCTTGTGTAATCCATTCCTAGAGTTACTAATTTTGCGCTTGACATTATCCAGGTAGAGAGCCTTTTCCTGACCTATGCTTGACACTATTCAACTCATGCCTAGTGTCGTCAAAGCAAAGATCCTAAACTTACTCAGGCTGCCACCAATCTTGCACCAAACATCACCAAGTCTGAGAGCTCTTAGCATAATCATGGTTAAGACCCTTTCTCCTATGACAAGTGTAAGCAAGTCAAAGATGCCCTAACTAACCCACACATGACGCTACTTATCCCGTGCTTAACATCAGTGAGATAGAGATCCCCTAACTCGCATTAAACTTGATGTAATGAAGATTTTTCACTTAGTAGGATCGTGATTTTGGCTCAAACTTACAACAAATTATTCTAATTCAACATGCAACTATCATTTTAGCATACATACACCAAAGGCAACTCAAATTCAACAAAAGGAAAAACATGCAACCATAGTATTGAAAAATCATCCATCCTTCAAAATACCTTCAAAGAAGCAAAACCTACAAGAAGTTTCTTAATTATTGTTTCAATCAAAATAACAAAATATGAGTAAAATCAGGAAAAAATCAACTATTACAATTCAACAATTATCAATCAACAAACTTATGTTACCTTGAATCACTCAAAAACAGGAAAAGAGAAGGAAGAACTACGAAGAACAAAGGTTCCCCTAGAGTTCTTTGTATGACAATCTCAACCTCAAATTCTCAGCTCCTAAGCTTTGTATCTATACTAAAGCTCTACTACTAAGCTATAAAGAAGGATTTGGATGCTTTTACGTAGTTAGAAGCAGAAAGGATTTTTTTCTTGCTCAAAAGCTTATCTCTTTAGCTTCTTTCTAATTTTCTTAGAATATAAACCTATGAAGTTCAAGTATTAAGAAAAACCTTAAGTAATTTCTCCTAAACTTGGTCAATTTGACCTCTACTAAAAGAAACTCCACCGTAGAGTCCTAAAACAACAATTAGTCATAACATAGAAATATTTAAACAACACAGAGGATAAATTAAATAATAAAGCATTAAAGCAACCAATGTTACAATTCTCCTCAACAACAAAAATTTGGTTTCTTGGGAAGAGAAATAGATATTAATCTTTGATCCTATCACCTAACTGCCATATAGCCTCACCAATGGCCACATCCCAAACAACTTTGACAAGATTGATGGACTTGCTCCTTAACTCCACCTTGTGATCCACCATTACAACTAGTTTCTTTTTATAAGTCAAATTCTCCTTAATTTGTAAAACATCATATTCCACCACATGACTAGGGTTACAAACATACTTCCTCAATTGAGATACATGAAACACATTGTCCATATTAGACAAGAATTGTGGCAAAGCCAACTATTATGCAACCAAACCTACACGATGAAGGATTTTATAACGCCCAATAGACTTTGGTGTTAGTTTCTTGAACTTTATTGCCTTTCTCACTCCTGTAATGAGTGTCACCTTTAAGAACACATGTTCTCCTTCAACAAACTCAAGCAATTTCCTCCTTCTATTTGCATAAGACTTCTACCTACTTTAGGCAATCTTCATCCTCTATTGTATCATCTTTACCTTCTTTGTAGTTTGTAAAACTAACTTTGGTCCACCAAAGCTGATTCACCTTTCTTATACCAACATAGAGGAGTTCCACATCTTTTCTCATACAAAGCTTTAAAAGGTTCTATACAATACTTGATGGAGCAATTACGTCTCTTCCCTTCATTGTATTTGTTATTTTATATCTCGAAGTAGTTATTGTAATCATTATTCTTTATTCTCTATCCGCCTTTTTTAGCCACCTATCTTGCCATCATTTTAAAAAAATAATTTAATTCACATATATTTTATTATAACCACCATATCCCACTCTTTTACAAATAACTTCTAGGTCGAATAAAATCCTATGATGGTACATTTAATTCACGTATGTTTTATTATAATCACCATATCCCACTCTTCAAAGATAACTAATAGGTCAAGCAAAATACAATGAGGGTACAACTTCCTTCTAGAATCTTATATTAGAACTCATGTATGTTGAATAGGAACCTTTTGTCAATTCTTTTGGAATTTTATGAAACAAATGTGGGTCCTCTACCTAAGAAGGCATTTTGTAAACTCTTTTAATCTTTCAATTAAAGTTTTTATTCAACCTTTTCACTGTTTATTATTATTCATATATGTTAATTATATGGAGTTGAGGGTGTCATGATTGGTTCACACCTTTGTCATCCTTGCTAACCACAAAAGTCTCAAAGAACTCATGTCTTAAGTTATTTAATCTCCATAACAATAGGCATACCTCTCTAAACTCTCAAGTTATGATTACACCCTTCAATATTGTGTTGGTCACCACAACATTGTAGCTAGTGCATAGTAGGGACATATTGGTGATGATCCTCACATATTTTATGGCAAAATTTGGCAAAACCCCCGCTCATGAGATTTTATGGGTTAAAACTTTAAAACCTACCTAACAAGTTTTCTAGTGAAATTTGGTAAAACCTTCTTTTCATATGACTCTCTCTCACACATTAAAGGTGGTAAGCCCTATGCAAGTTGGGTAATTCTTCTAATCCTAATATTAAAAATGAAAACATATCTTTTGTAACATTGTTAAAAAAAAAAAAAAAAGAGGCTGATTCAGTAGCCTAGAACGATCCTCGGGGATCAGTTATGATTTGCTTAAGTACCGAGCTGATGTCACGCGGTGCGTGTCCGAGGTCGGCTTGCGTTATGGTGCCGAGCTCGGAGCTCGGTTACGCAGTACGGATAGT